CCGAAAGCCTAGCTTTCTAATAAGAGAAGCAGCTTCTTTTTCTTTCATTTTTATATTCATAATTTAAAAAAAAGGTACTTATAGCATTGCACAAACATGTAAGGATCTGAAAGTCTTCTAGAAACAGGAACTATCCACATTGTTTGGCTGGCTGAAGTGCGTGAAGCAGAGATCCAAGTTGCATCACTGCAGTTAATTTTACTTTTCTCCTTGGTCCAAGAGTCGGAGGTTTATGGTGGGAAGGAGCTGGCGGATACTGGGTAGGGGTTTGGTGTTTTTCAGTTCAGCAGAGTCATTCTTTTCTTCTGCCTGCGACCATCCATGTCATGGTGTACAAACCGTCTCCAGAGGAGATGGAGCCGTCAGGCCTGGCTGGGGCCCTCTTACAGTTTAATTAGATCCGTGCCTAAACCGGTTGGACTAATGGATGCAAAGCACAGCGTGGGTGCTGTCAGCTCGGTAAGGACACGGCTTAGTTACAACGGCTATTTTAATCAAGGCCTTACCAGCACCCTGGCACGGCAAAGGTCAGTGGGAAAAGCACGTCTTGCCCACGCTGAAGCATCTTCTGGCAACCAGAGCTCTTCATCCTCAAGCCACGGGAGTTGTCTTCAGTAAAACCCTGTGAAAAGCTGCTGGAGGGCATCAGCAGCATCAGGAGAGCATCAGCACCAGCCGTTGCACTAACAGTGCGTGAGGCCAGCAACATTTTGGGGCAGAACCTGTTTTCTGTGTTGCCATTTCTAAATTCAGGGCTCAGTTGTAGTGTCAGAGCCCGTGTCAGTCTCGCAGCACGGGGCTGTGCAGCCCCAGCTCCTGCCCGACGGGTGTCGGAGGATTTGAGCTCGGCCCCGACACACTGGAGATGTCATTGCCTGGGAATTTGTGGCAGAGGAAGAAATATTAAGCAAATCTTTTGCAATTATCTTTGCCTCCAGCGGTTAGTCTACGTCTCCCCTTTGCATCCTTTGCTTTTCCAATCTCCTAGTCGCCAAGTTGGCTGCTCTTAAACTGGCTGGTGCTTCGGTGGCCTTGAGAGCAGCAGTTGCCATGGTAACTCAGAAGTACCCATTTTTGCACAGTCACTGTTTTAGCAGGTCGCAGGCACCACTGCTGCCAGAGGACCAGGAGGACCCTGAGCCAGTCCCATCCCAGCTCCAGCACCACGAGAGCCGGTGCTGCTCAGGATGTGAGCAGGAGTCCCGGATGGCTGAGTTTGGTGCCACCATCCCTCACCTCCCTCGGCCTCCTGGTTGTAAGAAGGTGGGCAGAGTGTGCAGCAATGCTGCAGGGTCACCCACAAGGCCCTTCTGTGCCATGGGACGTCTGTCCCCAGCCACATCTTTGTTGTTTGTGCTGGTACAAGCCCAATGTTGGGCTGCCCTCAGACTTTTCTCACCTTGTCCTCACTCTTTTTCTCTTCTGGGTGTTTTCTCACCATTATCAGAACAGGGATTTTCTTTCTTGCTGGGAATTTAAAGCTGGCCCAGGCTCTGTGGGGAGGATGCTGTGAAAAGACGCCCTCTATAATCCCACCCTGTGAAGCAGCATCCCCTCCCCACTGCCATGGGGGTTGTCTGGAGACATCTCCGCATGGCTTCTAGAGGCTGGTTGGGTTAGGGGGACTCTGGGAAAGCAGGTGGCCAGGGGTTAAATCACAGCTTTTGGCCTCCTCCAGAGGCAGGAGCAAGGAAGGGGGGAGTGAACTGAAATTCCCTTGAATATCTGTGCACCGGAGGGAGGGAGGATTAGTCCCATTAGGACAGAGCACTCGGGGTAATCCCGCTTTTGAGTTAGGGATTTCACTTTCATTAATCTGATGTGAAAATAAATAGAGCAGGAGCTTAATGCCTTTGAGGGAGCCGCAGGCACAGGAGAAGAAGGTTGGCTGGAGGGGCTGAGTAGGGACAGGACCATTCGGCTCAGACCCCTCCAGCCCCATCCATCCCTTCGGGAAAGGTCCCAGGACAAGGGAGGAGAGGAGCATCCCTGGGAAACATCCAAGCCATGAACAGGGGCTTCCTCCTCCCTTCTCCAGCCTGTTCTCCAGCCAAAGCAAGACTATTCCCTGCAGTGGATTTTCTCCCACCTTTTCAGCCTTTTCTTCAAAAGCAGCACAAGGTTTCTTTTGTCTCTTTTCTTTCTACCTGTGGCAGCGTTGCCGTTTTCCATCCCGTGGCTGACCCTTGCTGACTATGCTGGCGGCCTCTAAACATCTGTGGCCACAAAGCTATGGGAGAGAGCCTTTCTTCTTCCTGTTAGGAAATCAAATCAACTCTTCTGACATCCTGAAAGAGGGAATTTGGCTTTGATGTTAGGTGGACAGAGGTCAGCAGTGGCTCTGCTTGTCTTTAAGGAAATGGGGCACTCGTTTCAACAACTCCAGTGACAATTCTTCTCATGCAGGTGATTATTTAATCATAAAGCCCACAATTAGATCATTTAGAAGAAAGAAGGAAAGAAGTGTGTTAGAGATCTGATGAGCACCTGAACAAAGGTCCGGGGTAGCTTGGCAGAATGGGGGCTTTACCCCGCAAACATCTTCAGCCTTAAGCTTCCGTCACTCCGCTGAAATCAAAAATCAGGGGCAGATGCCAGATCCGGAGGGCAGGCAGGTTTTCTGCTCAGAAAATCTTCTTTTTGAAGTGTCTGTGATTTTGTATCATGATGAGAGTGATCTGAGCAGCAAAAGCCAGGAAGAGAGCGCCCAGGATGTGGGAGATCCTGACATCCATCAGGGTTTCCTATATTCCTAAGGACTGCCTTCACCAGCAGGCTGTGCTTCTGCCTTTCTGAGGACAGACTCTTCCATGTTTTATCCGAAAAAGTCTGTCGTAATTGAATGTTGCCATCAAAACTGGTCCATGCCGACGATTCACTCTGACAGTGTTTTCCAATGGAAAACAAAATCTAATCCTTGATCGGATCTGCTAGAAACAAGGGCCCGGGCAGTGGCGAGTGGGGTGCAGAACAGGAACACAACCATCAGCCCTTGGTGGATGGTGGATTCAAAAACCTTGTCACTCCGGTGGCTGGGAGAAGCCTGGGTTGCACGCTTCTCCATTGCTGGAGCAGCAGGGGATGGAGCCGGCACGAGCCCAGGGTCAGCATCCCAGGGCAGGATGGAGGAGCAAGGTTGGAGTAACCAGGTACAGGGCCCATGTGCTCCCTCCTCCAGAGGAAGCAGGAGACCTAATTCATCAGCACAGCTATATATATGTATTTTTAACAGTTTTAACTGTTCTCCTACTAACAAGTAGGATGTGGCCATAGCTTGGGCTTTGTTTGGGTCTGATGCGGGCTGTTTTCTCTGTGGGGCAGGATTACCGCTCTGCGTCTAATTAGGCAAAGGGTGTCCAAAGAGCCTCTAAAGATGTCCAAAATCAGCAGTCATTGAAGGGAGGAAGGAGTTAAATTAAACTGACATTGGTATTTCAGCAATGCACATGTTCTCTGGGGCTGTGGCCAGGAGCTTCGCCGGCTCCAGCTCCTCCTGCATCGCTGACGGGGTGACCTGGGTTTTTGTGTCATTTGTTTATTTGATTTCATGCATTTCCATTTTAGACAAGTGGGTTTCCAAGTCTGACATGTTGGGTCTCCAGCATGGGCTCCAAGGTGTTCCTCGCTCTGAGTCTTTAAATTCACGGTCTCTCTAAAACAAGAAGTGGCTTGGGTTCAGGTTTTAGGGAAGCTGAGCTTGCTGCTTTGTCTTTTTTCTTTTAATCTGGATAAATGAGAGCATGTGTGCAAAGGGAGTTTCAGATGCAGTCCTTCACTTGCCTAACCTTATGCTGTGATAAATCTTACACTGAACCACTAACGTGCCAGATAAAATACTTCTAAAAGCAGCAGGGATAAATACAGTAGGTACTTTCATTCAGGTTTCCAGAGCAGGAGAATTGTTGTTATCAGAAATAAGACAATATTTGTGTGCTTCTTTCTCCATAATCCCTTGCTCACATACGCTTGTGTGTTTGAAAGCGTAAAGGTTTATTCATACACAGATGTTTCCAATTATTTTCCTAAGAACAGTTCTCTCATTCACGCTTAATTTGTGAAACTCCTGTTAAGTTCCCCCAAATCTTTTTAAATTATTTTTAACAGTCATACCAGCAGTGGTAATCATAAACTCTGGGCCTGTTTTGCACTGATACAAATCACCACCTTCTACTTTGAAACTATTAATGTGAGTGCAGTTGAGCACTGGTCAGTCCAGTAAGAGAATATGGGATTCTCCTTTTTGAAGCCAGTGCTGTGCACCCTGAGTCCTGGTTTACATCCTGTATCCCAACATCCTGCTATCCTTGGCCCTGCCAGCTTGGCTTTGTTTTGCCTTCATCCTCGGTCATGTTGTAGACCTCAAAAGGACTCTGTAGCTGCTTGAGGGTTAGAAACCAGGTAGGAAGGAGGGTGCCTGCATTCCACACCCACTCCCAGGACTTGAGATGGAAGCAAGGAGAGCAACCTCGCTGGTTGGAGCAAGGAACTGGGCACACACCGGGTTTCTGGTGGTTCCTTCGTATTTCTTTGTCTTGCTTTTATTAGCTTGGTAGTGAAGGAGTTAATGCTGGTGGAACTGTGGGGTGATTCACTTGTAAAATGCATTGAGGTCTGGGGTGAAGGTTGTGGGAGGAGGAGGAGGAGGAGAGAGGCTGTGCTCTGGGCAGGCTGAAGGCAGGAGAGGATGTCCTGGGGGTTTGGGGGTGGGCACTTGAGATGGAAAGTGAAGCCGTGGGCCTGGTTGTACTTCTCTGACTTTGCTGCCTTGTAGGAAATGAAAAGCATCCTTTGTCCCTTCCTCTCAACGGGAGGACCTTTTCTAAGGCCCCCTTCTCAGTTTCCATAAACTTTCAAACCTTAGCAAATCTGGGATGTTTGGCAGTGTTTTCCTTCATACTCGCGGGAGGAGTGAACGCTTTTCAACATGTAAATCAGTGCTTCAGCTTCCCCCCTCCTGATGCTGCTGCCGCGTGTGCTCTCCTTAACACCCCCGTCTCACCTGGTTCGAGCACGTCAGCATGCTGGTCATCCTCCTGAACTGCGTCACCCTGGGCATGTTCCAGCCCTGCGAGGACGTGGAGTGCCAGTCGGAGCGGTGCACCATCCTGGAGGTAAGGACCCCATCCTGCCCCACTTGTCTGGGATGCGTGGGGTGCGGTGGGGTAGCCATCCCGGGAGATGGGACCTCCATCTTATCCCTTTTCCCCAGGACCCAGCCATGAAAGCCCTACCCATAGGGATGGTTTTTCCAATGCAAAGTCTGTTTTCCGAGGAGACCTGCTGCCATGGCCCTGAGTGGGCCCCGAAGGCTGACAGATTCAGACTTGCCCCAGCAAGATCCTTTCTCTGCACAACCAGTAAGGGTAGGGGAGCTCTAAACTGGGCATCCAGCTCACACTGGAGGTGTTGAACACTTCTTAATTATAGGATGGCCAATGCCACCCGGAACCTCTTGCAGTCGGTTCTACCCCAGCCAGCCCACTGCCGGATTGCTGTCGTCTGGTCCGTGCACTACGGCACCAGTGACTTTGCCGTTTCGTTCCTGTCTTCAGAACAAAAAAAGCATAGGATGGACTCGTGCCGACCCTGCTCCGCAGTAGAGCCCACCAGCTGAAGTGCCAGGATAACTGTCCTTTGGGAAATGCATACACGTGCAAAGCTCACAGATCCGCGTTGGCCACCCCAAGCTTAGTGGGGCATCACGCTTGTCGCTTCGTCCCTCGCTGCGTCCTGGCAATCCCCTCGCTGCCATATGCCCGCAGGGTTCGATTTGGAAGCACATCCCGGCAGCATCTGGTGTGTGGGCTGCACCTTGGCGCTGGGCTTCCTGCAGCAACTCCGTTCTCAGGCTTGGAACCAGCTTTCCTTGTTCCTGACACATTACATCAACTAGGCAGGGACTACCGACGTGTGGCACTGTAGCGGGCTTAGTCCGCTCAAATCCTGCACCAACCTGCTGCTTTACTTCCCTTTCAGCCATGCAGGAAGGCCAGTGGGATCCTTCCAACCAGCCTCTCCTGCCTCTTTCAGAGGTGGGTCCAGAACTGGCTGCAAACGCCATGAATAGCAGTCATCAAAACCTCTTTTCAACCTTAAAAGAGGATCTGTTAAATGCAGAGCCAGGTAATCCTGATGAATCAAGCTGTTGCCACCGGGGACATCCAGCACAGGGATTGTTTCAGATGGTCAGGCTCAGGGTTGGTGTGAAGCAGCATCCCGAGGTGACGGTCCGTCTCCTTCACAGGAAAATGCCACACTGACAGTGCTGTGGGCCCAGCTGCCCCAGAGAGCCCATCAGGGAATGTCTGACCTCTCCTAAAAGGTTACACTCCGCCTGTCTGCCGTTTTTTTGCATGTATTCACCCACGTGGGACTTCGGATGCGCGTCCCTGCCAAAATGTCCAGGCAGACAAAGGGAATCCTGCCTGGATGAGGAGGTGACATTGATAAACACTCATTACTTGCTTCCTTTTTGTCATAATTTACTCAGGTTGCAAGCGCAGGGCTTGCAGGGGCTGTTCTCCCCAGAGCAGACAGGCGTACAGTCTGCGAGAGCCCAGGCACTGACTGTGGTTTCCGAGACCAGCCAAGTGATTACAGCATATTGAGTGTATTGGCAGAACCCAAAGTATTATCCTGAAGGGTTTGCAGACAGAAAAGGGCTGCAAGTAAAGCCATCGTTATCCCTCACCCTGTCACAGCTTGCAGGAGGGAGTGGAAGCCAGAACATGAGGTAGGAAAGCCTGAACTCCTTTATGGAGGCGTTCGGATGCCAGTTACTAAATGAACCGAAATAACGGAGCAAAACTTCTGTGTCGTTACGAAGGGAAGGGTTGGTTGACAAAGCCAACAGCCAGAGAAGATGCTGCTCACACACAGCCACGCAGAGGTACATGGGTGCGCAGCGGGAGCTTGGCTCCCATGTGGATGCTCTGTTGATTTTACCATTAATCCGCTCAGGCCTCAGTGCGGAGGTGCCAGCAACACCACACCAAAGAGGTCATCAAGGGAGTGGTTTGGACAGCAGCAGTCATGTCTGTAGATCGAGAAGTTCCTGTGCTTTATCAAGGCTGTCATTCCAATCAACAAAGCCTCTGCACGTGATTTGAAAGCTATCTATATCTCCTGATGTACAACTTCCCAGGCAACATGCAGAAGAGTATTTCCAAGAGTCCATTTCATGGTATCTCCAAGTTCATCAACATTTTGTGTGTGTACCTACTTTTCCAGGAAGGCTGGAGAAATCACAGCTGTCCCAGTCCCCACTGCCCTACAGAAGTAAAGGCTGAGGCATGTTCCATAGGGCAGCAGTGGATTCATTTGCGCACCTTTATTATCTCCTGGTTTTCATAGTAATCTAAACCCCAAAATTTTGGCCTTCCTCCAGAGGCTCCCACACTGGCCAGCAGGATGCCCTGAGGTTTTGCACCACGAGGAACCGCTCCAGTCATTGCTCACATGCACCAGAACTGCCCTTATTTGCTACTTCAACCTCTGCTTGGTGTGTGCGGTCACTCCCAGGTGGGACTGGGTCTGTGGGTAGGAACCTCGTCCCTTTGGGAGTCCATGAAGGCATCAGAGGTGGCGCACTGTGTTAGGTGGGACAAATTCTTTCTAGGAGGTATGAGCTGCCCAGTCTGGAAACAAAGCTTCCACTGCAAGTTGCTGAGACTTCACAGACCCAACCACAAGCTGCTTTTGGATGCATAGGCTCTTTATGCCAAGGAAAGTACCCAGCCTGTACAACAGCTTGTATCTTTGTTGTATCTCAGGGGTTGCCATCACCCATCAGGTATCACAGGTTCCATTTCTGAGGTCAGCGGGAGGCACTTGGGTACCAGGTGTTTCTGCCGGGGTACGCAGGGTGCCTCTGCGGTGGGAGCGCGCGCGTCTCTGCTTTCCCTTTCCCTGGTAAGAAAGCACAGCAGAACTGACTGTAATAATCTTTTACTGGTCTCCAGGCGTTTGACGACTTCATTTTCGCTTTCTTTGCGGTGGAGATGGTCATCAAGATGGTGGCTCTGGGGATCTTCGGGCAGAAGTGTTACCTTGGAGATACGTGGAATCGCCTGGACTTCTTCATCGTGATGGCGGGGTCAGTAACAAAACCTCATAAATTTGCTCTTTGCGGGGAAAGCAAGAAAACCCCAGAGAGCCAAATCTGTAGGTTGGCCTGGCTGGTTTTCATAACGTCTTGTGAAAGCTGCCAGGCTCAAGCCACGGCAGAGTCTCATAAGTCCCATTTGGTTTCACCTCTGGCGACCATGCCCGATTATAGGGTGGGGTATGACTGTCAGGGCAAAAGCCATCAGGGTTTCAGTAGCAATCCTTTCACCAGCGTCACCTCTGTCAAATCCAGTGCATGCTGATTTGGTCCTTGCGATGGCCAGTATGTCCCAGTGCTCGCAGTTAGGATTGCTGTCTCCAGAATGGGTAGAAAAAGCAGCTCAGCCCTGCTCCTGCGATGTGATGCCATCAGAGTGATGCCGAGATTGGCCAAACAAGGAGAATCTAGCTCAAAAATCTGGTTCAGAAGGTTGAAATCCCAGTGGAAGAAGCTGACCAGGAGTTGACCCGAATTAGAAGTGCATGCAAATGCTTCCTTGTAAACTTCTCCTGGTTTACATTTTAATACCATCTCCCACAGCTGCTTATTTGTGCAGGATGTGTTAATAAACAGATATAAGGAAGCTCTGGGTGCTTTTGACACCAGTTCCCTCACACCCATAGGGAAAAATTGAGTGGACTAAAAGCTTGGCAAGTCTGAAACTTTTTTTTTCTATAAATAAATGGATTTTAGAAACCCGGGGCGCTTTTACCTGCTTAGTGTAGCCTAGCGAGGGATAGACTGCTTTAATGACAGAGCTTTGCCTTATTTCTGAATTCCTGGGTTTACAATGACCAGCCTGGGGTTAATTAGAACATTCCTGTAATATGTCGGGGCTTTTTTACCCTTACATTAGTGATGTACAATCTTCATTGCACTAATGGAGTTTTGTTTTGCTCTATGTTATTTGTCTGGAATACAATTAGGAATGGCCTCACTGGTTTGAATAAAACATGAGCTCTCCTGAGCAGAGTTTCCTTTGAACCCGCGTGCGGTTACAGCCCAGGAAAGAACAGCAGGGACAACAAAAGCAGCAGTTAATTATTTTTTTCTTTCCGAAGCTGCTGCAGCGTTTAAGCCAGCAGCAGTAGGGGAAGAGCAAGGCTGTGGTTGCAGGGGGAACTCGGGATCAGAAATCTGCCATCCGTAAGCAGCGTGCCGACAGTGTTTCCCCACGCTGAACCTGCAGGATGAGCTCTCCTGATGGGCGAGCAGAGGTTCCCCAAATCATCAAACAGATCATCCCAGCAGAGCAGCAGAATCAAGTAGCACGCGCAGGCAGAAAGGCTGAGCCCTCTGCTCATAACTCCGAGTCAGGCTTGGCACCAGGATCGTTGTTCATGTAGCACCTGGGATGGGGTGAAGGTGGCTGGTGAGTCAGTACGATAGTTTTCCAGGGCATTTCCCCACCCTCTGCTGCTGGCATATATTTGAGAAGGATGAAAACAGCAGCGTCACGAGGAGACGCTGACTGGAAGCCCGTCTGGCATTACTCAGGCTGAAGAGGAGAAGAGGAACGGCCCCTTCTCTGTCTGGTCCTGGGCCATCTCCATACAAATTTGATGTATTTGAGCGATACTTGTGGCGGTATTTCCCATCTTTCAGAAGACAGGCTGGTCTGGGGGCTGGTGGAGGGCAAGGAGCAGCTGTTCGATGGGCTGGGGTTCTTCACTTCTCCCATCCCTCCCACCACCACTGCTCCATCCAGTGTCTGCTCCTAAAACTGGAGGTGGTTTTAGCAGGGAGCCTACTGCAGGAATAACAAGGGTTGCTTTTTCCAGCAAACGGATGGATGTGATGAAGTTATTATGAGACTTTTCCTGATAAGAAGGGAAACAAGTGCTAGGCAGTGCTGCCTGCTTTGTTTGTCCTATTCAGTCTCCTCGAATAAGCTGATCTGGCTAACTAGTAAGGATACCAAAGAGAGTGAAGGGTGAGCAGGGAAACTACAAAATAAACATATCTCCTGCCTTTAGCAGCAGATTGTGCCTGAAGTTTGTTCCAGCACTGAAAGCCCTTTCATGTTTGCTCGCCTGAGAAATGTACCCTGGAAGATTTCAGACCGAGCGGAGCTTACAGCCTTTCAGTCTGTCCAGCAGCCAAGTTAAAAGCGTTTCCCGTGCATCAAAAATGTTGTCCACAAGATCTGAAAACAGAGAGGTTTCTTGTACATCCAGTCCCTGGAGACATTGCAGGCCCCTGTGATAGGCTTTGGACACCTTTAACTTGACAGCTGAAGGACTGGAAACTGTTCATGGTAGGAGACATCACAAAGGCTTATACCTTCTTTTTTCCAGTACCCAGAGGCTGTAGGGAATCGCCTACCACGTGCCAGTCTACCCAGACCGCCAGTCCCTGCACACCCAAAATTTCCAGCTCCAGCAGGTTTCTGTTGGGCATTTTCAGGGTATTTATTTCTGGGTTACAAGTGGGATATGAGAACAGGACCCCAAGCTTGGCCTTCACAAAGAAACCTTTGACTTTTTCATGAAGGTTTCAAATGTTTTCACTGCTTGCAGAAGGTCCAGTCTGGAATCCATCCGTCATTTCAGACTGGCTTCAGTGGAGAAGATCCCCCTGAGACTTACTTTCAAATCTTAAATGGAGTATCATGGAAGTCCAAAGTATCATGGTCAGAAAGTCTGTTTCTTGACCAAATCCTGCATTATTCATCTTTTATCAGCCCCACTGAAACTCCAAGGGCCAAGTAAAAGTGAGGCCCCAGGAGTTGGCCCTTTAACATGCTAATAGTTGCCTGTGCTCTCTGAAGTACAAAACCAGTTTCCCCTGGAGCATTTCAGACTCCTTTTACATGCTATTAGTAGTTCAAAAACTGTATCAGTTACACTAAAATCCACTTACTCAGCCACCCGATAAATTGTGAGTGTGCTGTATTGGGACCACGCCAGCCAACCGATTCAGGCTTCGTCACCGTTGATGTTGGGGACTTTACACAATGCTTTGTCTATTCCTGCAAGGTCTGCTCTGAGCAGACACCTGGTGCCAGCTCCAGACCCCTCAACGCAGGTGTGAACGGGCATTTCCGATGGCTTTCCTGCTGTGTGGTCCTTTGTGTGGCTCCGGGCTGCTTCCCACGGCTCTGCTCGGGCTGCTTAATGAAGACATGTTAGATTTAAAACCTGCTTTCGGGCTGTGCTGAGTGTTAAAGCTATTCGTCAGGTTCAGCTTAGTTCCTACGTACAAGCTTTAAGGTGGTTTGGATTTATAAAGGCTCCCTAACTGCTTCAGGGGAAAAAAAATATTGCTGAAAGGTTATCACTGAAACCAGCTCAGGATCACCACCACTGAAACCAGTTCAGGACCACGACCACTGAAACTGGCTCAGGATCGCCACCACTGAAACCAGTTCAGGATCACCACCACTGAAACCAGCTCAGGATCACCAGGGCCTCTACATGGCAGATTAAGACTAATGGGCCAAAGTCACCTCAGTGCAATGCCAGTGATACTGTGGGGTTACACCAAACGGCTTCAGGACAAAGGCAGAAAGAAGCAAACATCAGAACATCTCGATATTCCCATTTAAACCTTGTGGAGCGGCGCAAGGCATCAAATACTTGCAGAGCCGAGCGCAGGCACCTGGGCATTGATGCTCCTCAGCAAGGCTGACCCAAAACGAAACCTCCCTCTGCTGTTGCCTGAAATCCATCGAATTGTTGCTTCATTCCATTCAGCGGTTGGTTCTTGATGACACGTAACAATTTTGGTCCATCCTGGCTGCAGGATGCTTCAGTTGAAAAAGCTCTCTTTCCGCTGAAATGCCTGGCTGCAACAGTTCAGCTCACATTTGCCTTCCACCCTTCCATATCTGTTTGTTTATTTTAAAACAAACAAACAAAAACCCCAAAAGCTCTTTCTCCATGGGATCCAACAGCTTACTCGCAGGGTTGCTTTTGATGCTGTTATGTTATTTGAACAGGCGTGGTGAGAGATTTGTGACATATTTACAAGTGCTTCCCTGTAGTCAAACTCATAAATTGTAATTACAGCCATGCTAACTAGCCATAACCCCATTAAAAGAGCAACACTACACACATTTGCCACTATTGCTATAAAAGAGCAAGAAAACTGACTTGACTTAACATCCTTCCCAGCCTGGGAGAGAAATGTTTATGTGAAATGGAGACGGAGCATGAAAAAGAAAATGTTCCCTATCCTTAATAACAAAATGGAAACCAAACTACTTTAGCATCATTTGCCAGCTTGGTTATTCACATTTTTGTCAGAGGGGGGGAGATAAGCTGGCGTGACGATACGCTGGGGTGCTAGTAGGGGGTGTAATATCAGAAACATCTTATTGACTTTGAGCTGCACACCGTTGTGCAGAAATCTCCCTGGGAAGGCTGCGGATGCGCTGCCGGCCAGAGCACGATAAACGAATGGAAAAGGAGAGCAGCGCAGCTGTGGGAGCTGAGCAGGGAGTCGGGGGCTCCCCCTCTGCCCCGATTTCTGCGACCCCGACTTCTCAGATCCTTGTTGTGCCAAGGAGATGCTTTCCTGTGTGTTACCTGTGCCTGCAGCCCGTTAGCCCGTCTGCCTGCCAGCCCCTGCACCATCGCTGCTTGTGTGGGTATTTTCCATCTCTGAGAGGCTGAAACATCCCTTATATCCGCCACCGAGAGCACGATGCACAGTATGAGCTGCAAACACAGAGTGGGTGTTTCTGCAAGCCTGGGCTAGTGACACCCTCAACCCCAAGTAGCCCCAGTACTTTCATGCCCAGAGACTGAGCATCCCATGTCCTGACGCCTTTCCTGTTTCCCCTGCAGCATGATGGAGTATTCTCTGGATGGACACAACGTGAGCTTGTCTGCGATCCGCACCGTCCGGGTACTTCGGCCGCTACGAGCCATTAACAGGGTGCCAAGTAAGTAACACCTTCCCCCTCCGCAGCCACACCACCGGGCTCTCAGGCTCTGCCTGGCTCATTTCCCCCTGGAAAACCAGGGAGCTAAAGCCACCCCAGTTGGCTCTCCATGTGCTAAGCCTGGCAGTAGTAGTCTACTTCCCTGCTGCTGAGAGCAACATCATTTATTTTAACTTTTAATGGCAAGCTAGAGATCATTTATTATGATTATCAGTGTTGGCAAAGGGCAAGGGAGTAGATTTTATACCTGGGGGGTCAACTTTTCGTGGCTGTTTTCCAACGTTTTTGTGAACTCTCTGAGGCAAGTAACTCTCTGCTCCTAGTGCAGAGTAAATAACCAAGTTCTATAGAGAAAGGGGAAAGGTCAGTTCTGAAAAGGATCTTCCTGCCCTGGATGGGTTCGTTTTTCCCTCTCAGCTATTTAAGGTTTCCCTGTTTCTTTGTGTTAGGGATTAGAAGCGCAGCAGCCTCCGTTGCTGGTAAAATACCACAGAGGGTTTGCTGTCATGGAGAACAAAATTGGGTTCATCCCCAATAGTTCAAGTGGCCCCTAAATCCATTTTCAAGTGGCTTCAGTTGCTTGTCTTCTAAATCCAATTTGAAAGGCGAACCAGCAAGTTGAAATCATTTCCTGCTGGCATCAGCCGTCTGCTGAGCAATCCTGTGCAAGGTACTAATTTCATGGCACTTTCATCATTTTTTAACCAAAATCCACTCAATTCAAAATGCAGCGGTGCTGTATGGAAATCATAGAGGTTCCTTGCAAAAAAAAAAAAGGTACGTTTCCTGTTCTTTTGAAGGGCGTGTTTGAATGAAACGGCCTGGCCATCCTGGCCGCACGTCCTGCCTGGATTAATTGCCCATCCCGTCGGCACATCTGGGGATGGCAACACAAACTCCCCCAGACAGGTTTGGGTTCCAGTACCTCAGATGAACAGGCAAGGGGACAGATGGGTGTTTACGCACGGCAGTCTTTGAAGTTGCCCTCGGAGCTCAAATTCTTCAGGATTTTTCTTTATTTAAAAAAAATAAATCTGTAAATTTGGCAGTGACATCATTAAAAGGCAAAAACAAGAAGAAACAAGAAGCTAAAAAGGACCACAAAACCCTCCGGAGCTTTGGGTTTTTTTAATGAGGTTTTGTTACCGGGGTTTCGGAGCAGCCCGAAAGCACAACACGAAGTTTTCCTCTGGGGTTTTGAGTCTCGCTGGGATGAGAAGGAGTGGAGGGACACTGGCACGTGCTGGGCAAGGAGCCCCACCGAGCTCTCGGGCCGGGTGGAGGGTCAGGCTCGCTCTGAAGTTGTTTAAATCCACGAAGCCCTCCGTAGCTCTCCCTTGAAACAGCGGGAGTCTCAAGCAGGGATTCAGCTGGGCTGAGAGCACAAGCCGGGGGAATTTGAGGATTTACGTGCCTATTAAACTGAGGCCCAGGGATCCAAATGACTCCAAGTCTAGGTGAAATTTTGATCTGGGCACAGGCTGTGGTTTTTTCTTCCTTAGGAGTCTGATGGTGAAGCTTTGAAGTAAGCCTTTCGGGCTGTCTTCTGCTTCACTTGCCACTTTGATTTTTTTTTTAATATTTTTCAAAAGACAGGCAATAGAAAATCTTCATTTTTTGTTAATACTATGTGATATTAAACCCAAAGATTTGCCTGGCTTGATGAGCAGCTAGGCTGGTCGTACAACACTACCAGTGTCCTGAACAAGTGCCAGGGCAGGATTAGTATTCTTAGAAATATCTTGGTTCCTGGAGGGCAGATAATCACAGACGTTGCTTGTTTAGAAGACACTCACTCCATCCACTTTCAGCATCAGTAATTCTACTGCTTCGGACTGATGCCTGACATAAGCCAGGGTCTGCAGAGAATGGATAGCGACAACCCTCTGCTTTATTGTGTTTTTGCAGTTTCCGGCAATAACAGAGTTACATTTCTACTCTGTCATCCCTGGGGATGCTGTGGCTTAGCAGTGGCACCTTGGACATCCTGGGCATCCCAGCCAGCAGCAGGTCCTGCTGTCCATGTCATCCCCAGCTCTGGGACACTGATGCTCCCCTGGCCATCGCACCACAGGCGGGAGCAGGGGTTTTGGCTCAGTGGTTGTTGCAAAACAACATCGAGCAGATACGAATCATGGCTGGGTCAGAAGAGACGAGCCTGGCCATCAGTTGCAGGCACGGTGGAAGCAGGGACCCATGAGAAATAGCCTGGCAATTTATCCCTGTGATGCCTGGGCACTTTCCTGGGTTCCAGCCAGTGTGATTAGCTCTTTGCTTCCAGGCACAATAAATTCACCCACAAGATTATTTAATTTTTATTTTATTTGTTAAGAAAAGAAAGGAGAACCCCAGCCAATAAAAACATCATCTCTGTTAAAAATTATTCCTTGAAAATGACTGGAAAAAATAATTCCCGCAATTTCTGTTTGGCAGGGGCTGTAGTTAGGGGTTTTTTTTTTAGTAGTGGTCACTGTTTTTTCAAATCCATTTCACTGCTTTATTTTTATTTTACAACTACGTAGTTTAAACCGGGCATCACGTGGAATGGGAACGAAAAGAAATCCTGATCCTCGTTTCAGCCTAACCAGTGCTCGTGCTCGTTTCCCATGGCACACTTGACATTCTGCTGAGAGCCCGGAGCACCCTTAGCAGATAGCGAACAGATGGATTCAATCTCGAGGATGGTGCCACTAAACAACCCCAAATACCAAAAGTAGCTGAGCGGAAAAAAGTTGTCTGGCACAGGGAGATAAATTTTAACCATTTTTGGAAAAAAAAAAGAGGGAGGATATTAGTGGGGGTGGGGGGAGAAGAAAAACCCAGCATCGTCACTCCAGTGGGAATTGAGTCTTTTCTGCTTTTCCAAAGATAGATTTGCAGGGAAAGTCTGAAGGGCAGTGCTGGGGGATGTGCTCCTGGGGGGCTTGCGCCAACAGCACACGTTGGGAACAAGAGTTATGACATCAAACCCCCACTTGCCTCCAGCTCTGGGTTTCCCACTGTGCATGGAGCAGGGGCCGGTGTTGTCCCCGCGCCTGGCACGGGCGTTGCGGTGGCAGGGCACGGCAGGGATGCTGGCCAGCATCCCACACCACCTGTGCGCACGGCGTGTCCCTTCCCACCGGGGTGGCATTGGCACCGGGGCGGCACGGGGACAAGGTTTGGAGGGCAGCCGGCTGGGCTGGCATGGCGCTGGGCACCAGGATTGTGGTTCTTCTGGAGATGCATCCACTGCTGGCGCCAGCAGCAGGGAGCCACACTGGAGCCAAGATGCAGCTGGGCACAGAGACCTTGAAAGGCTCTTGCCCTAGGATGCAGAGGTGATTACTCACACCTAATTATTTATTAGCGCAGACTTCTTGGCCAGGGCAGTTTATCCACCCGTGCCGTGCTGACAAGGTAACATCGCCTCCATCCCTGCTTTTGCGTTGTGTTTCCACTGGCAGAGCAACACGAGGAGAGGGGCAAAGCAGCGTGACGGGGCTCCAGCTCCTGCTAGCACTGCCTGCCATGGCCTGGGAGATGCCGGGGTGCACAGGCTGTGTGCTCCTGGAGACTCTGCTCCTCCCATCACCCAGCCCTGGGGTCTACGGATGCCAGGCTGCAGCCCAGCATCGTTATTGAGTTAGCAGGAGAGGCATCAGACATGGCTTGGGAGCTGGCTGAGAGAAGAAGCCAACATGGAAATCGGTGGGGGAAGAGAGCCTGCATCAGTGTAAATGCTGCGCTCTGTTCAAATGGGATGACTAACGGAGAGCAGCATCCTGCTAGGGAATGGAGGGAGAAAAACCTCCACAGAGGCAGGAAAAGGTGTTTGCAGAGCAGCATTTTATGGGATAAGATGCCTCCAAAGCAGCAGTGTCACCCAGCAGCCACATTGATTTCCACCATGTCATAAACTTGAACCCTGCTGCCTGTTGAGCGCTGGGCTTCCACGACTCTGTTTCTGGGTTTAGTCTTTCCTGTAATTTAACATTTGCCTTTGCCTCTTGCTCTTTTCATTAGTTCTCCTCTCATCAGTTATCAGCTGTTGAAATGATGGCTGGTCGGTGTCTCAGAGGTTCATTTACCCTCTATCGAGCTGCTGAGCTGCAAGTCGTTATTCCCTTGTCATTCGTGTCTTACCCTCGAGTTTGACGGTGTCCTGATGCGTGAGACAGGGCAGCCCCCAGCGCCAGCCCAGTCCCTGCCCTCTTGCCCAGTCTCCTCTGGGCAGTGATTCTGGGAGCGTGCTGGACGGAGATGCAAGGGTTAGCTGAGGCTCTGCAAGGCTGACTCATGCCTCTTACTGAGGATGGAAGATCTTGCACAGAAATCAGCATTTCACTGGCAGCAAAGGTGCTAGGGGAGCCCCTGCTCGGCACCCAGGGAGAGATGCGGGACCGGCTGGGAAGGTCTCCTGGCAGCCTGCGTAGGAGGAGGGGAAGAGAGCAGAGGAGAGCTTTGCTTAAAGGAAGAAACATTTGCATCCCACTTTTCTCCCTCTAAAAATTCCTCCTGCCTCCCCTGTCTGGGAGTCCTGCAAGCTTTGGAGCATGAATGGCCAGCAAGGAGAGGAGTCCCCGGTGGAAGAGTTGTCCATGGAGGAGGCACAGCTCTCATCCCACACACGGCTCTGTATTGTTTAGGGGAACAATTTGTGTGATTCGCAAGAGATGTTCAGTATGTTTATAAATCTATATTTTGACAATTTCTCAGGAGGCTGATGGTTTGCGGGGGCGTTTCTCCAGGAAAGACTGTCTTGCAGCTTTGCCCGTGTTTGTGTGTGGTTGAGTGCTGTGTTACTGAAAACATCTGAAAATCCCACTCTTAAGCCCACCCTTTGGAGATACACTGTTCTTATGTGCTGCTAAGCCTTCTGCATTCTTTACCTTCCTTTTCAGCCTCAAGGTTTTGGGGAGAACATAAACATCCCAATTCCTCTGCCCAGGGTGTACTGGCTGCACGACCGAGCACGACAGGAGCTGGGATCAGTGTGGCATTCATGTTCTTCCCATCAAAGGGCTCCTCTAATCTTTTTTTCTCCTTCTCCCCACAGGTATGCGAATACTCGTCACTCTGCTGTTAGATACTCTGCCTATGTTAGGCAACGTCCTCCTCTTGTGCTTCTTTGTCTTCTTCATCTTTGGGATTGTCGGTGTGCAGCTCTGGGCAGGGCTGCTGAGAAACAGGTGTTTCCTAGACAGGAATTTTGCAATGTAAGTACAGAAAAAAAAAAAAAAAAAATCTCCATCTTTTCTTCCTTTCTCCCTCTCCCATGACGGAGAAAACCCAGCGTTCGTGTGCAGCTGGGGCTGATTCCAGCAGCCCGTGTGTGAGCGCAACGTGACCGTGTGGCACAGTTGCAACAGCAGCTCTTAGCAGGGCTGTAATCTTGATTCACAAGGTTTTTGGCTTCAGGACTCTGGCTAGATACTTTTTTATGAAAAAGCCCGACTTGTCAGCAAGTCACTGAGTGTTTGGAGTGGCTTTCTCATGTTCTGCCTCTGCACCTGAAGGACAAGTGGTTTATCTCTGCCTGAGGAAGCTCAGATCCCCAACTCCATGAATTTGAGGATTTAGGACAAACAGAAGCATTAGAGCTCTCCTAAAATTGCCAGTTCCCAAAACTGCACAGGGTTGGGAAGCCACCTAGCACACCACACTGCTTGGCAGGGGGCTGATGCCATGTTCCGCACGCTGGTACAGACAGCACCATGGAGGTGCTGCTGGAACACACAAATGAGTCTTTGTGGGTGTCTTAAGATAAGAAGCTTGATGTGAAAAGTGTCAGAGACATCTGTACACCACGCTCAGCCTGGCACAGGTATCAGGGACGGGCAGCACATTAGATCACCTGCCCTTTTTGGTTCAAACTTTAGTTTTGGTCTTCCAAGCTAGGCAGTTGCATGGACTAGCATCCTGCCAGGTGCAGAGGGTGCTAATGGGCCTTCGTTATCCTAATGAGCCTCACCTAGGACCCACACCCCGCCCCTGGCCCAGGAGTGCTATTTAAGCTCAGCCTGTGGCTCTCAGTCCTGGTTTGAGCTGTGCTGTTGGTGTGCCTGTCTCCAGTTCTGTCTTTACTCTTGGTTTCTTTTGCTTCTGCCTGAGTTCCCTGGATGGGTCCTGGATCTGGTTCATCGCTTGCTGTGTCTGGGGTTTTGAATGGGCCCTGCTGCCAGCCCAGGGTTCTGCCTGTTGCGTCCAGACTGTCTGTGCAGGTGCTGCTGGCACTGGCATGACCCTTGGCTCCTGGCTCATCCCCTGCCGTGGGACAGTCCTGCTCTCGCTGCTCCCCAGCAATCCCTCAGCGTGATGCTGAGCTTGGGCTGTTCTGCGCTTGCCCCTTCAGGGGTGCACTGTAAGGACGCACCTTAAAACCCATCAGCACAGCACATCAAAACCAAGCACAGACAGCGAGCTCCTGCAGAAGAGAGGTCCGCCTGGGAAAACCCTTCCAAAAGGCTCCTGTCAGAGACTGCTGGAGATGTCAGTGGCTCAGAGGTGAGGAAATGCCGGAGACTAGCTAATCAGGGCAGCTCTAGCTCTGTTAGAGAAGATAGAGCCTGCAATTATATCTGCTGTCTACAACTTGTATTGTGTCTGAAGACAAGCAGAGATTATCCCTCAGCACTACCCCAGGTCCTGTGCCTGCCTCTCCCTGATTCGCCCTGTGACTTTCAGCTCTCTGAGCCTTTTTCTGTGCTGCAGGCCATCTCTGATGGCACTTACTCATCCCATCAGAGATGCTGAAAGGCAGAAAATTGAAGAGTATGCCGTGTGTGTGCTTCTGCTCCTGCATCTTGATGCTCCAACCTCGTGAGCTCTCTCCTGCACCCGTGGCAGGTATTTGCTGGTCACCAAGACCCGCCATCACTCAGAGTAACCCCTCAGCTGTCATTTCAAAGCCCAAAGAGTGGTGTTAAAGAAGTGCTTGGGTGGCCCCCTTGCATGGGGCAGGCAGTTCTTTGAGCAAAAGGAGAGCAGAGCTGTAATTAGCTACGGCAAGTCCCTCTCATCTTTTTTGACCAGGTTTCCAAAATGCTGTGTGATTTCCTGCAAAGTGGAGCTTATAAAATTAACCACAGGGGAAGCGTTTGCTAAATGGAGATATTAAGCAGCCCAGGGAAAGCAGCCTGTTATATAATGGCCATTAGCAGCATCAAAGGCATCGCAGGATTTTCTTATCAGGGTCTCGGTGCGGGTCAGTGGAGGCGAAGTCAGGCTCCCTGTGCTAAGCCTCGGGACCTGTGTTTGAAGAGGCAGGAGGTTTGTGAGACATCACCTCCTTCACAGCTCTGCACTGGTTGCTGTGTCCCACCCCCAGCAGCAGGTAGTGGTGGATTTGGGTGGCTGTGGGCTATCCATTGCCTGTGCTCAGGGATGCTGTGAACAAAGTTAAAGCATTCCGGAGAAATAAGGTTTCTGGAATGCTGGTGGGGCAGCTCTGTTGCAGGACAGAGCTACTTGGTGCCAATATGTTGTACCAGATGTGGGTTGCTCTGGTACCATCACCCAGGCTTAAGCTACTGCCTTGCTCTGTGTTTGGCTGGGTTAGCTTTAGACCTGGGAAACCTGGCTGCGATGAGCCAGTCCCTCCACTTCCAGCTAGAAGTGATTGCAAGTTGATCGGAGCTTAGTGTGAAAGTTTTAGGGAATCCAGATGACACTATTCCTATCTTTTCTGTTATTCCTGATTCATTCTCCTGAATCCGTAGTTCCAGGCATTGCGATATGTTTTGTAACGCCCCAACAGCAAGTTGTATTGGGAGACAAGGCATGGAGTGACTTTGGTGTGGGAAACAGGGAAAGCGCTTTGGGGTTACATGGTTCTGCTGTAGGAAGGGCTAAAAGACACAGCACTGGGCCCAAACTAGCAGGTCCTGCTGAGCAGCAGCAAGATACCATCTGCTTGCAAGGCCGTGTGGGGACAGAAGCAAAGTCAAGCTCAGGGTTGGATGGGAGTGGGTCCGTCACTGTATCCTCATGATCCATGCCAGTGCCGAGCTGCTGTGCTCATATCCGTGCTGGAGAGCCCTGACCGTCGTTCCCCTTCCAGGGAAAGCTGCCAGGGAGAACAAAAACAACAACAAAACCATCACGCAGGGGATGCAGGATTAAAGTTAAGCTCTAGTTTTGGTTAGAAGTAAATAGAATAGAGCTCAGTGGGAAAGGGGGAATGAGATTCTGGTCACTTAGTCTTGTCTGCCAAGTCCCACTAAATCCCAATGTTGTTGTCCCCAGCCTAAAAAAATGTTTACCAGCCCTTTAGCAGGCTGTGAGGGGCTGGAGGATGGACAGACATGCTGTGCACTGGGGTTGGGGCTGAGCAGATGATGGTCCTGGTTCAGATTTTCCTTACAGCCCTGTAAAGGGGAAGAACTGAGTTATTGGCAGGACTTACCTTGGTGGTGGTGTCAAACCTTTCTATGTGGAAACAGAACTGCTTTAAAGTGAGGGTGAACATCTGAACACAATCCAGGGTGCCAGGCAAGGAAGGGTCATAGCCCCAAAGGTTCTCTGGAGTAAAGGAAGTGTAAGGGAGCTCAGAGACTGGTGCTTCAATATATTTTCTTATCTGCTGCGTGCTCTTCGCACACTCGCTGCCAAAAGCTTTCTGGGCCATTCAACTTTACAGCAGGCATCAGTTGGAAAAAGTGACTTTGATTTTTGCCATCATTCTTCTTCCTGTGGAAACCTTTTCTTTTAAATCCCCCTTGAAAGTTGGCTGCTTCAAGTAAAGAAACTGTTTTTAAAATATAGTACATTGTGATAAAAATTTGGGGACTTCTTTGAGGTGCACTGGAAATAGCTGCTTTCTCTCTCTCTTTGAAAATTGCACTGTTGCGATGTAAAACCATGCTGGAAAGAGGTGGTTTTATTAAGGACTCTCTTTTAGCAATAACATTGAAGGAATTACAGGCAGTTACGGGGCTGTTGCAGTAGCGAGTTGGGAAGCTATAAACTGGAGTGGGTCACTGCTGTTCAGGACATGTGAGAAGCTGTTGCTCCCCAGCCAGCCATGGGGACCAGAGTGGTGCTTCAGAGGTCTTGGGTGGCTCAGACACCTCTTCACCCCCTCCCGGGATCTTTCTGGCTGGACTGCGCTTCCTCTGGCATTACACAGCAGCGCCAGGATGGTCTCCACTGCAATGTGAGCGAGTGTGGGAGATCCCTGATGGTGGGATCTGGAGTGAGAATTTCACAAAGGCTTTTTGCTTGGTCTGGTCCGAGTGAAAGGCTTGGTATGCATGCCTGGGAAGGGCAAGCGAAGTCAGCCGTTGATCTGTAAGATCTCCAGGATGTGTGTCTCCCCCACACAGCCCCTCGGCTCCCTCCTGCCATCATGAGCTGCTGTCACTGTGTATAAAGGAACTGGGTCACCCCCAGCTTGTCTTGGTTGGTGCTGCTGGGGCTGCTCCTTGCTTGGGTGTTGTTATGCAGGGAAGTGTTTTCCCTCTCATGGAGCCTTTCAGGGAACTCAGTGGGTTGGAAACAGGAGAGGGGAGAGAGCTGTGAAGTGCTTTGTATTTATCTAATGCTGCAGGACAGTTATAATGTGAGCACTTCAGTCTTAATTAACTCCGTACCTGTTTGGCATTGTATCGCCTTTGGCTCCTTGGCTTTTGTAGAGCCGTGAGAAGGCACAGGCGGCCGAGGCAGACAGCTCTGAGTTTTTCTGAAAGGTGCTTTTGAGTGCTGCTTAATTGCTCCTCCTGGCATTGCACAGTGCTGCAACGTGGGGTTGTCAGCAGGATTTCCTCCAGAGAGCAGCCTCCCTTTGGAGGAAAGGGATCTGGCTTGGTGCTGAGTTTCCTTCACCTTCTCCCTTTCCTCCTCTGCTCCTTGGAAAGCTGTAGCAGGATTGTGCTCAGCACAAACCTTACTCCAGTGCTTGTGGATGATGACCTGAGTGGGATGGTTGGGCTGGGAAGACTGAGCCTGGGGATAGATGGAGCAGAGAATAATTGCTCAGCTTCCTTTGACATGGGAGAGAATGGACTTTCCCGCCCCACTGTTGTCCTTCCTCCACATGACTGTGCCCAGGGACAGAAAAGGAAAATACATTGCAAAGATGCTGCAAGCCCAGAGAAAGATGTGCACTGGGCAGCTGGCCGAGAAAGGGGTGTTAATCCTTCTTAATAAGATAACAAGATCCATTCTGGGGCTTAGTTTCTCATGTCTTTTCCCCAGAGCACAAGGGTCTTGTGATTAGTGGATTCATTACCATTAATAACTTATTTGGACTATGCCTGTTGGCAAGTAAAACGGAAGTCAGGTTGACCTTCCCTGCATGTGGAGGTAGATGGTCTTGGCAGAGCTAATTCATTTATTTTGTGGGAATTGGGGATTCCCTCATTCTGCAACACTGCTGTTTCTCATTCTTACTCTTCTTCCTTCTTTCCCCTTTTTAGTTTTGCCAGCAGGGTCATCACACAGAGGAACTAGAAAAAGGTCTTAAATTTGCAGTGCTTGCTGTCACTTGGCGTGTCCCTTCCCTGCTGTACTTGGTGGCAGCAGAACATCATGGAGGTGCAGGTCTCTCCCAGCCAGGAGGATGGTGTCTCTGTGCCCAGGGCAGACACAGAAGAGGGAAGGGTTTGAAGAGGGCTGGGCAGGAATTGGCCCCTGTGTGGCTGATTTTGGCCTGGCATAGGGAGGACTTTCTTTCAGTTTATAATTATTTTGGGGACCATTGCAAAAATGAGCAAGGCAGAGAAAAGGGAGGATTAAATCAGCTAGCAGCAGAATCAAATCAAGCTTCACCCACCCTTTGCAGTCAAGCTGTGCTTTGTTTTCCTGGTTTTATTTTCCTCCTACAGCCACCAAAGCATGTCGTTCTTTTGGTTCTCCAGAGGGTTTGTACCCAGATCTCTTCTACGCAGCTTATTAGATCACAGCCCAGGGTGCTGTGTCTGCAGGCAGTATTTCTCCTTCAGCCTAAGGCTTCCTAAACAGTGACTCATGGAAAACATGCAGTCTCCCAGATCTGTGTATGTGGCTCATTAAGGGCCTTTCCAGTTGCAGTGTGACTAGAGAAGCGTTGCATGGGAAGGGAATTGGTCCTGTAGGTCCCCAGACTGGCTGCATCCCCTCCCAACAGAACTGGGTACGTGGGCTCCAGCAGAATTGATGGGCATGCTGCTCTCTGGCTAGCTGTGTCCCTGCCCAGCTGGGCTGGGCGTATCAGGAGACCAGACATGAGCTCTGGGGTCTGAAATAAAGATAATTAATCTGGGACAATGAACACGTGTCAGAGTCCTGCAGCTGGGAGGGCAGATAGCTGCGGAGTTGTGTGTGGCACTGAATGTTGTGTGTATTGTGCCGTGGTGGGAGATGCAGCTCACAGGGGAGCTCGGGTGTGAGGTTGGAGCCGAGCATCGCGCTGACGCATCAGCCCTGCTGTCTGAGCACTTCTTCTATGGTCAGTGTTCTTGGCACAGGCAAGTGTGTGTCTGCATCTAAACATGAAACTGCTCCCAGGAAAGGAGCCTGTGCAGCTATTGCTGCTAATTACACAATCATCCCTCCAGATGGTCCATATCCCTCTGCAAGTCCAGCTTTGCTCTGAGTAGAATCCTAATTACTCCAGCCCGCAAGCTGTGGTGTGCTGAGCCTTCCCATCCTGCCTGCTGCCCAAAGGTGTTTGTGATCAGGAAACTCCTGCTGGTGGTGGTGTGGTGGGGTGTTACTTCCAGGGCGGGGAAGAAAACAAGTGTTTGAGTTTCAGAGCTCCACCTGACTCTGGAGCAAGTTTTCCTGTAAGATCAATTGTAGTTTGGAATAGTATGTCAGTGGAGTGGCACATCCACATCAAAAGCATTGTTTGAAGGGAAACAAGAAAGAGGGATGTTCTGAGGATCAACCAAGGTTGTTGCGGGGCTGGGAGTTCATTGTGTAGCTGTAGGGTTGCAGGTCTGAGACTCACCTCTGTGGCTGTATCTGCTGCAAAGCATCAGGTTTGGGCTTTGAGCCGCGCAAAGTTTCAGGTGTGCATGGCTTGTCACATTGGAGATCTGAGAACTGCTGAGTGCTGAGCCTGAGCTGGAGGTCCAGGGGCTTTGAAGAGAAGGTACCAAATGAGATGTCTGCTGCCATCACCTTAGGGATGTAGAGTAGCTCTTTGCCTGTAACCCACAAGTCCTGGTTTCTAGAGTGGTGAAGTCAGCCCCAGGGAAGCCGGGCATACCCCAGAGTCCTGTGGCCATGCTACTTTGCTGTATCAGGCAATGCACAGGGTACCCAGGTCTGAGCTCTGGGGTAGAGGTAGCTCTCAGGTAGACCCCTGTCACCGCAGGGTATGGAAAGCCCTGACCCCAGTGTCCCCTCTGAAAGACTTCAGAACTACTGAGCACCTGCTGTTGAGTTCCTTGGGGGGAGGCTAATGAAACATGCACTTGTGGCCTCTCAAACCTGGAGGTTTTAAAGGAAAATGTCCTTCCTGAGGCAGGTGGGGCTGGGATGGCTCTGCCCTGGGCTGTGTCCTGTCTCAGGGAAGTGCAGAGCCCTCCCAGCAGCTCCCTGTGTGAGCAGGCTCAGGCAGGCACCATGGCTGTAAGCAGCGATGTCCCAGGGGTGTGGGGTCCCTACCACATTTGTTTGAGGGTGCAGGAGCCCTTTGCATCTGAACTGAGCCCCTCTCGGAATTCTCACTAAAGCCAAAACGAAGCTGCTGGGACTCTGCCTGCTGCTTTTGACTTAGAAGTCAATTCTCAGGTGTCTCTCCTCCTAGATGTTTCTTCTCTCGAGTTCTCCAGCTGTCTCTGCACAGGCTGTAGCAGACACAGCTCCGCACCTCAGTGCGTTTTAATCCTTCTCAAGCCTCCGCGGTGCCCCCCTCGGTGTGACAAACTGCTGGCTGTAGTATCTGATCTTCTAGCAAAACACTGTGCTAACGTAGCACTCGGCCTTTTCTTCAGCTTGTTTTATATGGAAATCTCCTCCAAGTGAAACCAAGTCGTGGGAGGGGAAGGAGAAGGCTTTTATGCAGTCCTGGAAGAAAAACATTTTTCAAGTTTCTTCCTCATCTCCTGAATCTAAGGCTTAGAAACTGGGAGGAGGAGGCTACCGTTTGCCTAGAGGCATGGGAACGCTGTGCAATGGGCCAGGAATAGATGGTGAATGTGTTTGATCACCAGCAAATAATGCCCAATTCCTCTGACTTGCTACTCTTGCCTATCCCTGGAGCTGGATGAACCTTCAACACCCATCTCAAATGATTCATTGGTGGAGGAGAACCAGACCTCCCCAGGAAAGTGTTTCAGGGTTAATTTCTCCTCAGCTTTGCCCTGCAGCAATTGCTGTCTCCTTAAAGTGCAGTTGCTGAGTGACTCCTGTCTGACTCAAGGGTTTTGGGGAGCAATTTCAAGCAATTGCATGGAATAACACTAGTCTGGCACTCATTAGTGCCAAATTTATTCAATAGTTGGGTACGTTCAGAAACGTAAAAATACAGCTGTCCTGTCTTGAAGAATTACCTTCTTATCTTCTACCCACTTCTCACTTGGTTGTATAATTTGCGTTGCCTTTTCCCTTATCTCCTAGCTGATTATATAGCATCTTAGATCCTTGCAGCTCTGAACACAGCGGATAAAGTCAGCTCTAGGACTTTGCACCTTCTCATTTCGAGCGGTGCTTCAGCAGCGTGAGTGCCGGTGGGTCTCGCTAATGCAAATCAAGCAGCATGAAAAGTCCTGGACTCTGGTTGCTCGCTGATCTGCCCCAGAGCATGGCTTGGGAAAAGGCACATCCCTGCCATGCTGCAATTAGAGCACTTGCTTATCTTAGCTGTAACAGAGCCATAAACTTTATCCAGGCCAATTAAATCAGATATGCAGTGAGCATACAGTTCCCGTTAATGCGGCCTCTTTCTTTTCTTATGTAAGTACAAAAGGAATTTGAGATGGCCTGTGGCTGGCTCTCTCCTTGTTAAAGTTCAGCTCACTCATCCCGGAGAGGTGCTGAGGGGCAAATTTATTGGAAAGCTGCTTTGCTGCCAGCTTTTCTGAAACATGTTCTGAACATCAGAAGAGCTGTCTTAAATCCTTAGATGGAAGCAAAAGTTCCCTAGATTTTTGGGAAGCACCTGGCCTGCTGGGATTTTTCTCTCTATACCTTCTCATTTCAACTTTCAACTGCCCTGTTCCCTCGGGAAAGCTCAGGCTGATCTTTTGGTTAAAGATCACTGGTGTGCTGCAGGATGCTGTAAGCTAAAAGCTTTGTAGACAGAGGTTGGGGCTGGTATCTCGACTGTGGCTTGATGTCCCCAGTCTGATGGGCCTGAAGGGCAAAGGAGAAATAACACCCAAACCAGGGATGGGAACCAGCACCTTTTGCTGATAATGTTTGTTCTTATCCTTCTCTTTCTTCCCCCTCCAGGACATACAACCTTACCTTCCTGCATCCGTACTACCGGACAGACGAAGCAGAGGAGAATCCATTCATCTGCTCATCGCATCGTGAAAACGGCATGCAGAAATGCTCCAATATCCCAAACAGGAAGGAGTACAAGGTGGAGTGCACCTTGAGCATGGACTCCTACACCCCAAGTTTATACAACCCTGACT